TTTCCATTCTTATCGATGACGCATTTCCCACGCTTTACTACATAGCAGATGGCTGTAAATAAAAATGAGTCCGGTACGAATTTCTATCTTTGCACGATACTCTACCAAGCAGCTAGGCTCCTAACCTTAAAAAGCTCTATTTTCTAATTCCATGGTCTATTTTCTAATTTTTTTCGTATTTAGGGCACGACGGAACCTCGCGAGGCTTTCAGTACCAGGTATCAACAACCGAAAACCAATCACGACTCGGAAGAAGTATAACGAAGACCCTACGAAACGATTTCATAGAAATCGCAATTTGTACGCAGCCTTAGTTGAAAGGAACATCGACGCAAATAAATTGATCCGTTTACCCACGTCTCTTCGTTAAAACGCAGGTCTCGAAGTACTCAACTCTAAAAGTATTAGCCAACGAAGCCCTAATGGTTAGCAAGACATTGCAATTGGTAATAGATAGCCAAACTTTTGCCTCTAGAAGGGACAGCATGTCACAATAGATCACTGATATACACGAACGGTCCTTGAGGCAAATTGTGCCATCCAGTTCGCTTAAGTTAAATTCTCAATCTGAGATAGAGATGCTAAGATATAGATTTCCGTAGTAGAGATTACGTCCTAAATTGCGAAGGTTTCTGATCAATGCATTTGCTAAATACTACCCTCAAATGTAGATGGTGAAACAGGAAAATAGGCAAACATGCATATGCGATCGGTGTGGCCCCACCTGTGCGATAAGGTCATTGACTTAAGGCTTAACTACCTAACTTTGAACACAAAAAAGGAATATGTACTCCCACAACGACTACACCCATCTGCATTCTCGCATAATATAAAATATAGAAAACCGTTAATGTTATAGTGCAAAGCACATGTGACAATTTTTTTTCTAGCAAATGATATATTTTACACTAAATAATAATTTATATAGCGGTGATCTTTATTACTTATTGAATGAACAAAGTAAATTCGCGTTTTCCACGTAACCGATATCCAGGAACTAGTGATTACGATATATTGGCCAAAAACAAAAAAGGTTCACGCGGCCAGATAGCCTGGTTCTGTGAAAAGCCTCACCGCTATGCTTCAGTCATGGCCTAGAGTAGAGTTGTATATTATCGCGGGTTCTTTTGTATTTAGGTGCGTGTGATATTTTAAAGATGACAATAGCTGGAGAAGGGTATCTTTTTGTCGATTCTTTGAGACAAGTAATCGATAACGAAATTAGCGGTGTTAAAGTAGCTCATAAATACACAGCTGTTGATAAGCTTCCTAAGCACTGTCCTTACTCTATGAATAATGAAAGGGCGCACATTTAGCAAACGATCGTTGTTCTACCCTATATGCTTTAAAGGCTCTGGACAACGCAATATAATAGGAGTGTAATAGCACACATAAGTCTTCCGGCGTAATCTAAACAGTCATTCTAGGTAATATTGTATGGCAAAAGACTTACGCCGTTGGACGATGCTCGTGCTGCTAAGAAGCGAGTGTCATTTATCTCTCAAAGCCGGAGATTCAGTATCGGACGGCCTGTCCTGTGTCTTAAGGCCATTATGACGGTGGCTACGTAAAACGAACATGCCTCGGAGGTCTCTACGATTTTCCTGGGTTTTATATTTCATTTTAATAGTTATAGCGTTGTATTATTATCTCAAGCGAAAAGCACTGGGTATCAAAAGACGAGAATCTTTGACGGAAAAGACTGCCTTAGGTAGACTGCGTGTCCAAGCAAAAAACGAATTGCTCACCGTATAATTCAACCAGAGACGATAATACAGAATTCCACTTGTTTTTGTAGGCAGACGCCCAGCGGAGACAGCTGTAGGCAATGCTAGCTGAACTTAATTTCCCAAGGTCGACCTTTCATTGAGAACAGGCCATTATCTGATAGCTATTGAAGATGCTGTTTAGCTGCATTGTGAGACTTTCGCGAACAATAGCGTTACAAGATCAGCTTTATTCTAATTACTGCTTTCTGCAATATTTATAGCTAGCGAAGAAAATTCTAGGGTTGGGAAATGTTGTTTGAAAGGCGTGTGTCCTTATTTACAAAGGCATGTTTCAGCCAGCCACTACAAAATGTTGTACTTTTAACCATAATTTGTCCACTAAAATAAGACATATACTTTATCAGCTTTCTCCGTGGCCGTAACCGGTGTTAGCAGGTCATGGTCACAATTCTCTCTACCTTTTAAGGTTGCTAATACATTCCTTCATGTACGATGATGGCTAGGTCGCAAATTTTTAGATATCTCAAATGAGCGGCCTGTGCCTTCAGTGCGCAGAAAATACACAAAAGAAACGGTGGCCCATGCCTTGTGGCATGGTTTCCTTGCGAACCCTAAGGCTGCTGTCCTCAACATATCTTTATAATAAGGCTCGGGGGAAGTTAACCTATGAGCAACCGAATGCACCCGTAAGACCAATTGAGAGTGATCCCTTCCGCGACGATCGTTCTCGGCCAGTAAGGTATTTCAAAGCGTTAAGTATGCACCAAGTTCAATGGCCGGTACTGCACCCATTTTACATAGATCAATACCGCATGTCGTTATAGTCATAGGGACGTGTATCTGCTCAAAAGATTCGCTAACCATTATTAAATTTGTCTCTATTGCTTCAACCTTAGTCGGACGTAGATGGAATAACGATTTTGCTGTTGCTATGTTTTTTACTTTTGTGTTTTCAACGCAGGCCCCTGTTGTAGAAATTAATAAACTTAAACACAACGCATAAGCATACGTCTGTCAGCATCCCATGGGGTGGGAATAGAATCATGAAAAAAGCATAGAAATAGGCAAACTCAAACGCCGGAACTCTATTGGACGATGGTGCAATGCAGGGTACTATTTGCAACTAGATAGTACTTTTGCACCGTATGGAGAGAAAATGTCGTATTTTTCTTGACAGATGGCTCCTGGTTTAGATTGCCAACGCAAGCTTGGCGCGCACAAGAGTAGATGACAGACAACAGCATTGTGGAGAGAGAAAATGAAATTTCATGCATGATTGAGCAAGAAGAGTGCCCGACCGCGTGACCCCGTATACTCTCGCCGCTGCCGCTTTTAGGGGGTTTGTTCAAACACGGATAACTTTAATTAGAAAATACGCTAAGAAACTGTAAATTCAATAAGGCGACGCTAGAAGAATGGGTCAACGGTTAAACTGCAACAGACTTTTTTATTTCCTAAATTTGGCTAAGTATACTGTAATTACAGAAACTTATTATTTCTTTTTTTTTTTTTTAGAGTTTACCTGAGCTAATAGTTTGGTCGTCAAATGTCTATGTAAAACCGGAAGTAAAACGGATTTTTAACAAAAAAAAAAGGCGAAAAAAGAGAACGTAAAAGAACGACCAGGTTCAGCAAACTACGTTCGATTAATTATGCTATTTATTATATGACATACAATATGCTAACGGAGGCTTTGACACGTAATTCCGTATTGAATTGACCTGGTCTAAGTTCAAGTTGTAATTACTATAACGCGAACAGGATGAATGTTACTAGCTGCTGAAACAGGTCACTTTAGATTTTTTATGTGAAAACTTACTATGCATATCGAAGTATTACTTCAAACTCTTGTTAATCACTGCACATGTTTAGCTTATCCGGTGTTTTGATATATTGAAAATACATGATGTAGTCAGAAAGGGTATTACTGAACCAGAGGTCAGTTATTTTTAAAAGTGTTTTTCTCCTCTGGATCGCATCATGTCACCAAGCAAGGCTTTTACCTCGTCGCCTCCCGCTAAATTAGTTAAGAAAATGCGTTTGCATAATACAAGAATGGTAAGCCAAAATGATTTGCGGAGGTTTGGATATTTACCCTCTGGACTTTCGAATTGAAGCAATGCTAAAAACGATAATAACTCGTCAGTATCAACACGAAAATTAAAATAATTACTTAGAAACCATATACAAACATACTAATAGAAACAGCAACTGATACGGTTCTGTGGTGTTTATGTATTTAACATAATCTTGTCTAACGAATGCTCAAGAGGACACAATTGTCCCAAAACTATAGGTGATTTTGCGAATCATATATCGAAATCAAAAAGGCTCGACTTCAGCCCTCAGGTGACGTTAGGTAATATGATTTCGACCTGACTGAGTGCCAATCATCAGTTTTTCAAGTAATTAATTAACAGAAAACGTTCAGCTGCTATGAGAAAATTTACCCATAACAAGCCGGTGTCAGCATTGACGGTCCTTCAATAGTACGAATAAACTAACTGCATGATTTATATATTAATCAGCCCGCCGAGTAAGGAAGCGTTGTTGAAGGGAGGCATTATATTATCAGTTCGCTGGCAATATCGTATGCAGAATCACGCGAACCCATATGGCTCTGATGGAATAGGATATGCCATGCTGAAGGCTGTGCATGACCAGTGCGCCAAATCGTCGGTTAAATCATTGAAGACTTTTTGGTGCAGCAAAAAGAACAACAAAAGCTACCTTATCACTCAAAGATAGATTCCACTGCGTGTTGGGTGCGCCGTCTTAATTTCACAGTGTTTGTTTAGGCCTCGTTACCAAAACACTGATAGTACAATCACAAGCTATGACATCATACGGTAATGATAATTATGCTGATCGTTTCGCTCATACAATCGACACTCAGTGTTTTCTGTTTATACGTGCATCGGTACATTCATAACCGTTTCCTTTTACGCTATTCGGGCACTATAACGGTTATATTGCTCGACTTGCCACTACATCAGCAATAGGTTACTTGCCCCTTTTGTCTATGATACCGGCCCATGTCGGACGTAATCTATTCAGCCCTGCCTTGTGATTATAATTGCTAAATGCTATAATATTATTATCACTACTACTATTCAACCGCCGTTGCCAACTGGCAAGAGGAAAACGAATACGGTCGTTCGGGAAGGCGAAGGCAACGGCGGATTAATGCGCGAGACGAGATTAGATACGCATAGTGGCCCCTCACGGGATCACGGGCTCTAATCATAGGTTAGTCCCAGTTAACAGCAATGATTTTGGCAGAACGCTGTTGTAGTTACCCATCAGATTACTACTGCTACGTTAATGAATACTGCCAACGGCGGAATGTGTTCACGTTTGCAGTGTCCGAGCGTCCTGGACGATCAGATCGTGAATGTTAATGTGACGAAATGGCTAAGCGAGAAAGCCCACTAAAAATTAAAATGGAACCCAGTTACGAAGCAGGTAGGCGGATAGCGTCCCAAAATATCAACTGCGTTAACCAACTAATCCATATCCGCTTGGTATGGTAAAGAACTTCAACTGACATGTAGGATTTTACACAGTAAAAGGTCGTTTTATGTGTAAAGCTCCTATCGTTTTTTTTTTCTATTATAGCCCATTTTCAGATGGTGTCGACACGCTGTGTCTAGATTTGTACCCCGTGGGAAAGATTAATCCAGCATCGAAGTTCTATCATAGCTATACATCATTGACTTGGTAATGCATCGCGGTTCTGTCTCGGTCTTCGGACAACTCATAGTGTCTCAGGACACAGAGAATATTTTTTAATGTTAAATTTAATTCACTCGACCACGGCTCGGCTTTGTCCGGTGTCGTCATACGTTGCCATGGGAAGCATGCAGCGTCCTGTGATTTGACGTGGTCTATTGGGGTCAGCTTCGTTTACCCATTTTTAACTAAGTTTTATTGTGTAACAATGGCCGTTGAAGTGCAGGGGTCACCCGGCATGCTTGAAATGTCGTTTGTTAGCGATGGACGGTTAATTTTGTATCGGCAAGGGTGATTTTCGAAATTTTCCACAATTGATATTCGTGACAAACGTGGCGTGGGGTTAATCGCCTCTATCGCTTAACCGAGAGAATTTACTTTGTACTGACAATCGTTCAAACCTCTGGCCTATGCTTCGTAATTATAGATCGACGACGTCAAAACTGGGAATCATGTTTCGCCCGTTGGATCTGAATTTTCCCGAGTAATCAGTTCGCTCAGCGGCACCCAGAGATTCCAACAATATCCTTTGCTCTGGCCAAAAAATGGCTCATCATTTACAAAACACGTGGCTTTTTTTTTGTCCGCTTAATCTTTCTGTATGTTATGGATTATTCCTTTTTCTGAATTACTAATGTGCTTCACACTTGATAGCGTTCAGAGCGAGGCCCTGAGGTCTTAAAATCCCCTAAAAGTTGAAATTTTTCTACAATATTCAGTTAATTACGAATTATTGACTAAAGTTATTGGTACATTTTAAAAGTACTTGTTCTACAACTGCTTTGCAATATTCTCGATGGAAACTTTGTAAGAATAAAATGACCTCGAGCTAAAAGGATGCCTTGGAGTGAATCTTACTTTTTTTATTTCGTCATTGGCGAGTTTCAAACAAAGCTTAGATCGTTTGAAGCAATTATGGGCCCGTCTTACGTAGCGGTGGTTCCTGGGCGGATGAAAAACACCCACGGATGGTGAAAATAAGCATGAATTTTATGTATAAATACATAGATTATAAATAATAATAATAATAAAGAAACGTCTTCACAAACATTGTCCTGGAACACTTCACTTGAAGTTGTGATGTTCAAGGGTAACAACATAACCTATAGGAAAAAAAAAATGGTTACTAATATCCTAGTGAATGGATGCCGTTTTCGTTTTCGGTACGCTCGAAATATGTCTAACTCTAACTGATTATATTAATTAGTATAATTCAGCTCGTTTATTTGTCCTACTAGCGATCTATTTAGAATTCAAAATAGGTTCAAGAATGAAATAGTGAGTTGACAGAACCCTTATATTCAATTAATTCTGAGCACGCATTTATTGCAGCGAAGGACTACACTGGGCCGTTCTTGATCTGTATGGCCTAATAGACATGTCTCAGGGAAGTAGGTAAATTCCGTCGTAAGTCACGAGCATGATATTAAAGATAAGTAGCGTAGCATTATGGGTTTCTGAAACTGATACTATTGTTGTAGAAATAGAATTGCACTCCATCAGTACAGCTATGCCAGCCATACCCACATAGGTTAGGTTATATATAGGTGTCACTGTTATTATTGGGTTCGCGAGAACAATATTTGGATGTAGATATACATACGTCGGCCAATGGGACTCGAGCGGCCCGATGATCGTTGGAGGAAAGGCGGAATGGCTATTTACCGACTGCGCCAGCTAAAATCCATGAAAGGGCAGTGCACGGTATTTAGGGAAACGCAGCAACCTCTTCTAGTGCTATGTATAAGTATACCAAAACGACGACTGGCATCGAGTACGTAAACTACGTAACTCTGTTGACAAATAATAAGAATATTAAGAAATGCATTATTTTTGATTATGATTTACGTGGCTATGAAGGTCTAGAAGGACTATGTTGATGAAAAATGTGTCTCTATCACGTTACAGAGACTCTGCTTGCCTAACGATTAGACCGCTATTATTTGTCTCTCTTATCGAGCCTTGTCCTATTATTGCACAAGTCAGCCACACTATTTCTCCAGCGCGGGCCGATTCAATGTGTGGAGCGCGGCCCGGCACCTGATTCGAACTGTTCTGTCTAAAACGGAAAACGATCGATTAAAAATGGGCCGTCCGGGCACCGTTAGTGCAACCTTTATAGTCACTGAATCTCTCGTTTAACTTAACGGTGTTATTTATGTAAAGCTTTAGGTAAAACCAACATCCGTGATGAGAAACAGTTGCAACACCTGAACGAAACACATCATCTATAAAACTCATATCAGTGTGTCGGGGAAATTTCTCTATATTGTATGCGAACTATTTATAGTATACAGACAAGAAAATAAATATATTCTAGGTGCTTGTTGGGATTTTTCAAGTTGTATGTTTCTCATGTTCATAACTAGAATGGCCGAAAATTGGACTAGTTCTAAGCGAAGAACACTTACACACCCTTAAGATGTACACTTTCTTGTCAATATAGGTTCTAAGACTCCTAGGCTTAAAATTAATTTTGCATAGTCTGTTCGTGCCGATAACCCCCTGCGAATATATTAACATGCACCCTTCAAGTGATCAATGAAGTTTTAACTACAGTTGAGCGCCCTCACTGAAACGTGCTTAGAGCTTAGCTAATGATGCTACGCGTAGATGATGCGCACAGCTAATATGGTAACCAATAGGTGAGAGACTTCCGAATGGCTTAACGATATTAGCTATGAAGAACGCGATAATCTCTTAAAACTGCATAGATCAAATCAACTTTAATTCCTACGGAACTGAATGTATTATATATATAACAGAATTATATATATATACCGGCTTTGTACCGGCTTAAGTTGTTCCTGTAAGAGGCAACTGATAACTAATGTTGTACTTACGTTCGCGTTTCAGTTTGTTAAAACACGTACCGCACTCAGACCAGGGCTAATGCAATGACTGGCTCCGGACTTACTCCTGAATCCTTCGTTTATCCAGCTGGAACGGGCTCTGATTACAACAAACGTGTATCACGCACATCCATTGTAGAGCTCAGGTAGGTTCATACAAGCCGTTGCCAATTTTCCCTACAAATCCTCCCCTAAAATTGTTTTGCCTAAATATACGTAGTGAGCATGGCCTATAGTTCGTCGATGTGATGACAACTTTGACACCACAAAAATCATACCCAACATAAAAAAGGACTAATTAAGATAAAAAAGGATAAGAAAGGAGAATAAAAGATATGAACAAATTGAAACTGAGATAAGATAAAGCCAACACTACGACTAAAACATCGAGTGAAAGACAATTTGAAGAGCACTAACAAAGCTTCTCGAAAGCATAAAAAAACTTTTTGGCCATTGTTCAGGCTCCTCATTCTACGCATAAAAACGCTGACTTCTAACTATTTAGACTATTTAAACGTTTTTTTTTGCTTAATCTAGTTGAAAATTATCTTATTTATAACATTGTCTGCTTTGTCTCCCTAGTAAAACGAAGAGCTTTTTGGGCTATCAGCAGATAAAGGAACTCCAAACTGCAGGTCTAATGAAACGTTACACAATGACCGTTGAACTGTTTCGTTTCTTAATATTGTTTTGGTAATGTAAAACGATTTATTTCGGCAGAGAAACGGAAGTTGCTCATCTCAAGTAGTTAGTAAAATATACGATTACAATATGATCATTATATAGAAATGGGAAAAGAAATGGAAAAAAAAAATTGCCAGTTTTCCATGTAAGCAAAGGCTAACTATAAAAAACGAGATGCCCTATTCTTGAGGACCCGACTAGTTCCAGTTCAGCTTCGGAGCCAGTGATTGGCTACTGTTAGAGCTTATTTCTATTTTGTTTTTGTAATTATTGATTCGAAACTTTGGGCAGTTCAATCAGATGTTTATTCTGCTAGATCTAAAAAACAGTGCTACAGCGTAAACTGACAACAGCCGTTCTATACGCATATCGGATAATTTCGCTATTTTCGTCCATCTTGAGCCGCGTTTGATTCGGCCGGGTCGAACAGACCTGCCCAGTTATACGTATCTGACATCCTTTCTTCGATTTCGAGGAATGGCAGCAGCCAAAGAAAAGCAAGGGTTATTTGCAAATAGCTTCGTAAGCATTGCCAGCTATGAATTGCTGGAGTATTATTGCGTGGCACGCTAACACACATCGACACGGGTGGTTGGTCGAGGATGGTGACTTTGTAGTAATTCCACTGTCAACTAATTGGAATTATTGTTCAGACGATAAGTTGTATCAGGTAAGTTCAACCTCAAAATGTACAATAATGCGCATCCTTATGTAAATAAACAACCATGGTAGAGATATCGGTTTGTCTACGCCAATATGGCTTCGATTTTAACGTCCTACAATTAAAACTATTCCGGCGCTGAACGGATTCAGTAATAGTTACAATTAACGGCGAGACGCCGTGCGTAGAGGCGCTCGAATAACATTTTTCAAGATTATCCGTTCTCTTTAATATCGTATTGGTTGTACTAAAGTGGCAGTTTGAATTCAGTGCTTCAAAAACAGAGACTCGACCTCACGGTAACGTCCTAGAAGGTCTACTCTGCAAGTTAACAGGAAATAATATATTTCATGAAGGAAAAGACAGAAAATATATCGCCAGTCATTGAGTCTATTTATAGACGAGGCTCACATAAATTCATGGTATCACTTCAAATGAATCTTTTCAGTTACTTATGCTCGGAGAGATTTATGATCCAACAGTACAAACAGATCATTTCATTATCTACAGATAAATCATCCATTATGCCGTAAAAGAAGAATTTGCTTCTGCTTTCCTCATTGTATCATTGTGTAGACAAGACACTAAACATGTTCCATCGCACTCTATTTGCTGTTTCATTGTACTGACCCATTAGTAACGTCGTATTAATTTATTTTATTTAACAATATAGCGTATTTAACAATAACTGGCGCAGTCGCCGGAACTTCCCCGGTCAAAGCAGAGGATTGTTATCTAAAGTTTCGCGGACGCGGTCGCATTGCCGACACGCGAGTCATCGTGGCACACGAAGTAATACGTTCTTTGTCGTTTCAATGGCAGAGCGATCCTGTCTGTTGTGGTATCGCAATGGGTAATTCTGTTTGCTTGCCTATCTGTAAATGGGCCTATGTGTGAGGGTTGAGTAAAAGCCGAGAAGCAAATTATAACTGGGTGTGTTTTTATAACTATGATACTATAAACTTTCAGTAGCCACTTTGTTAAACTCTATCGGCTTTTATTTGCGGTGCCCAATTTGCGAACGCTAGTACCTCTGATGCGTTCCTATTTCCATGTATAATCCAAGTTTGTGCAATCAATATATATATATGAAATTCAGCAATGTCGCCATTTCAAACTTCCTGCCACCTGATGTTGTATGACAATGCGTTAGACTCCCCGAAACAGCTCACCAGCAGTAAGTTAGGCCTACCTCAAGTTACCTGTGCCCTCGTGAACGTCATGCACGAGCATGTAGTTCGTGGGCAATCTTTATGATCGTGTTCGCGACAGCGTTTTGGGTACACAGGAAACTGTCCTACGAATGGGGTATTGAAAAATGCTAATAATTAGAGAATACTGCCAACGTGATGAAGCGCGGGAAAGATCTCAGTCAACGTGTGACTCTGACTACTGAGAAATTTCGAGAGAAACAGCGCCAATGATCAATGTAAGACAGTAGAGGGCTAAACGAGAGTAGCAGTTAAAAACCGAAGCCTGCTTGTTGTATGTAGCTTGTTTTGATTCGAAGGGACACATCAAAGATAGCCATATATCTATATACATATGTGGGGCTCTATGGAGCAAAACTATGCTTAACGCTAGCCATTGATTGATTCGCATGGTCCTACATAGTGGGATTTTGTGGACCAGATTTTGTGGGGCTACGCGGTCCACTAATGACTTCGTGAAAAAAGTCTGTAATTGCTAAGCTAAGGAAGTTAATTTTTTTTTTTAAATTACTTGCTGCACAGTTAGACAGGTCAAAAAATTATGTTGCGTGTATTATAGGTCCTAACACTAAGTTTTGCAATGCAATGTGGGGTCCAGGTAGCCATCCACGAGTTGCATCTCGTTCCAAAATTGAGAGACACAGTACGTACGACTGTTCAATACTAATTTGATCGCAGCACGCCGAAATAATTATCATCGTTATGGATTATTATCGTAACTACTCAGGATAAATTTCGACCTATGATCATGATCATTGGCAATGTAATGCCGGCATGTAGATGAATGAATGCAATCACATGTAACATATTGTAGGCAGCAATGACATGTAGCATAACGTGTGCGAAGCCACGAAGTCCTAATTGAAATTGATAAACAGAGTTCAATTGTACTTTAATGCTACCTGGCTCTCGACATTTTGTTGTAGAATTGGAATCGACCCTATCCGACGCTATACATGTCCGAAACGCGATAACCTGTATGCCTTCCATGAATGGAGGGTCATGTCGTTTAGCGTAAGGTAACGACTCTTATCAAAAATAGAGCGTATTGCTTTTCAAACAGTAAACTTTTCAGTAACACTAAACGTTCGTAATTCGCTAACCTTCTAAACCAAAGAAAAGGTCCCCTAACACAAATTTCAATTAATTTAGAAAGTTTTGAAGCTGCAAGAGAATTGAGACTTTAAACCAGTGTTCTACTGATAGAAAAGAACGTGTCACTCTCGAATAGTGCCTGCCTCATGCAGCCCCCATTCCCCCTCCTACCCAGTGTCAATTTTCTATCACTAACTTCAGAGCGCTCACTTGATAGATACTTGTGTGTTTATATATTTGTCGTAATACTGATGTGTACAGCGACCGTAGATGCATTCCGTCATTATTTTACGCGGCCGGTGGTATCTTGGGGTCCTGTGAGATATTACCACTTTAGCCTTGTCGTACAAAGCGAAAAAATGAGTTTTGCGATGTTTGATCGGCTCCTCTTCGAACCGATTGTTGTCAGTTTTGTAACGGGTAGATTATGCGTATTTTAGGAAATACACAACCCGAAGGTGCCTGCTGTTCGGGCCCGGTCAACGCAGGCACAAAAGATTGTCCTCATCCATCCATATAGCTTATCGGTTTTCAGATTTAGTAGTTACGCTCTGCGAAGATGGCAGCCGGATCAGATGATTTAATTAACAAGTGAAGCAAGACGGCCACAACTGAAACAAATAGACGAGGACAGATTATATAATTTTTATATCTAAGTATAGTATTCGTATATTAGATTTACCGATTGCGTTCAAGCTCTAAGTAACGTTTTGCTTCTCACCAGCCTGTTTAGTTTAAATCCGATAGCCAAAAATTATTTTAAAAAGCAGTAGTCGAAAACAACAAAATTATTTATTGGTGGGTAATGCAGAGTGTTACAGATTAGTCTAATACGAACTCTGCTGCCGGTGTATCTACGAAGTATTGCCATCTTATCTCCTATTATAGGTCTATGGTGTCTTTTCTATCGGTGCCAATATCTGTTGGGGACCCATACTCTCCATGCATCACAATCGCAGCGTACTGCTTTATCAGGTGCCTCTGCTAAACTGCCGCCGGAACGCTATCGATAGTTCCGTGCCACTTTTTAGTGACAATATTTTAGCAGCATTTTTAGCGACTACGCGACCGCCTTCAGATCATTGGCCGGAGCGAAATCTCTCTGTCAAATCTGGTAAAGCTTGCCGTAGTGGTATCTTCTCATTATTTTGCACTTTGCCTGCGCCGAACGTCGACACACGAGTCGATCGATATTTCTACGTAGTTACTGGGGGCATTTTGTAAGCCCACAACATATACAAACCACCTAAATCGAAACAATTACTAACTTAGCTATTCCATTTTTTTAGCATTCATTCCATATCTATGCATGTGATGGTTTCCGACTGTGCTGAGTCTACCGTGAGTACAGTGACCCTATCATGAGGCGCGCACGGTGAAGAAACTAAGAATTTCGTATATCGAATGAAGGTAAACACGTTCGACTGACATCGGCTGGTCTTGTTCGCTACTGATGTACATATACGTCACTGTGAAGCCACAAAAGGCTTAAAAGTATTAGGCGGATTGTCGCAATTACTAAGCCTATTAACTTCCGTTCTGACATGGCATGGGCTTCACGAGAAAAAATCGGCAGTAGGTTACTAAGCGACACCGACTAGAACCAGCTGGTTCAAGAGGCCATTGATATTTCAACCATCGATAGAGTTACAAAGGCGGGCCCGTTTGCCCCCATGTCATTTCTAAGTAAAGACTATTCATTCTGCTTGTCTAGACGGTTTTAATCTCGACAATCAGCATTTAAGCTTAGCTACATAGATGATGT